CAAAGCAATGGTCCGGATGATGCTCCTTTGAGCCAAGAGGAGCTAGGAGAGTTGGGTGATATTTCTCCGGGCATTAATCTTTACAAGTCACGTTACCCAGTATTTGTCTAGAAATATTGAATATTGAAGCGTTAGATTTGTGCAGCTTTAAAAGGGAATAATGTTTCCATCAAAATGAGTTGTTTCGCTAATTTCTCTGTTTTCACAAATAATAAAATAATAAAGATTCTCAAAGAAGTTACAGAAAGAGTATGATGACATAGACGGGGGGGGGGTTCCTGTTTGGGTTGAGTTCAGAGGGAAATTTTGAAACGATGTCCGGGTCAGGTTGGCTGGGCTGATTTGTTTTACGCTGCATGTGACTTTAATGACGGCAAACATCGGTCTTGCTCATTTTAATTTCTGTAACATCCTTTTTGTGGGACATACTGAATTATTATTATCACACTAAGTCTAACTCGCTGATGCGTCACCGGCCCATGGCGAGGCGTCAGATGTCAGATGGTGGTGATAATGATGCTACTCACAGCTGCTTTTTCACTCTGACCATGACCTGACAGCCAGAAGGGACCACTCTAAAGAACATGTCTTGACATTTTCTTTGTGTAATGATGATTTGTCTTGCGGGTCGTATGCAGACATCTCTGGATCTTCTTCAGACTCATTTATTTTATATTCTAAAAATTCAAAGCTGTCATGATCCAACCTGCCGCATGTGAACTGGAGTTTGTGAAGAATACAGTTTGCCAGATAAAACTGAACAAAGCTTCACCGTACGACCACACATCAGTGCTACTTAACATGCAGGGCTGAATACCGTGTGCAGTTCATCCTCGCTGCTCAGAACTGCAGCCGCTGAAGTGGCCTTGCTCTCTCTCTCTCACTTGATGTGCTTCCTTAATCAGAGCGAAATGTCTCCTTTCTTTATTATTTCAAGACACGCGCTGAGCCAATTAGCTAATCATTATGGCAAGGCAGGTGGTGCACTAATACAAGATAATAACACACCTTGGGCATTCGGAGCCACCGCTCTGCTCAGGGCTTCTCAGCAACATCGCACAGTTCGGCGCGGGCCTAATTGGGTTGTGGAACATGGGGAGGGAAATGGGGGAGACGTAAAATGATCGTACAAGGGAAAAAAAATGAAGCTTTAATGGAAGGAGAAGGACATTGGCCTTATTCAAAAGGACCCGGACCCATTTAATTTTTAAAAATGGAAAATACAGTTTGATTCTTTGTCTGGGGAATATTCAAACCTCTCAGGGGCGCAGTTACTTTGGATGCACACGGTGAATTTTGTCCTCACCCCCTCGCTCTGTTTCCCCCGACTGCAACAAACAAATCAGCAGTGAGCAGATTGTGTCAATCTCTAATCGCGCACACCCAACATGGATCTTGTATTTGATCTTAAAATGGAATATGACAAAATAAAGGAAAGATGTATCAGGCAGGTTTGTTTTCGAAGCGGCATCATTATAATGGACCTTTTGTTTTTCATAGATAAACATTTTTAAAAAACAGAGAAACTGACGAATCAGCTCGAAGTTGAAGGAGAATGTTGATGAGTGTGTTAAACGTTGACGGAACTTTTTCCACGTTGGTTCCAGCTGCGGTCGATGAACACTTCCTGATTTCCTTCTAGACACCAATGTACTGGCTGCACATGTTTCCCTGCGTCCCATTTCCTAACTGTCAGTACATAAATACATCTCATGAATGCATGATGAGGGAAGAACGAGCACTGTCTGTCACCGTGTGCACCTGGCAATGAAATACAATCCACTATCTCCAAATTGAAAGTGCACCCTGTGCTAGAGATTTAACTGCAGCAGCAAAACTAAGTTGCAATTTCAAATCTTTCAAATTTACCGTCTGTTTCGTCATTTACGGAAAAAAGGGAATCGCAATTTGTCCTGTGATGTTCAATTCTTGCTCCTTATTCTAAGATCTTTCTTCTTCCTCTCGTGGCGATCAACAGGAGATGACACTCGATCAAAACACACATCGTACGTGCTTCTCTGGAAATAACGTTTGACAAGTGAGGGATCCAGGGCCGAGTGGTGAATGTGCTTTACAATGAAAGCAAACTGACAGTCAAAGAGTGTCAAAAGTAGTTTGCCTCCATTACAGCCTCTCCCCTGCCAAAGTTACACATCAGGTATTCATGGTAACAACATTTAACACACGCGCTCATGGAGCCGTGGCATCTCTCTTTCATTATGTTAGCACCTCAGAGGGGCAGGATGCTGCGTTGCCGCCCCCGCTTTTGACTGACATGGTGGTTATGAGCAATGATAGCTGTCAGAGCTCCGAGGGAGCATCTAAATGAACTGACACCGGCAGTGTGAAGACACCTCACGCCAAATCCACTGACAACATTATTATACTGAACGCTTTATATAGGAGGATGAGGCCTGGAGGATCAATGTGATTGATGCACGGCACTCGGCACATAATTCCTCACCTTTTATTTAAGACGGTCGCTCGGAGCGCTGGTTCTGACCGCTGCCACTTGCTCATTGGTTTCGCATTCTCAGTTTGAGCTTTACCGGACGTGAAACATGGTCGAAGTCATTTAGGGAGTCAGGATGCAGGCAACATGGTGCTGGAGTGAAACCCACCTGCAGAATGTGGTTATACTCCTAAATACCTGGGTGTCTCATTTCCATCAGGAGTCGATAAAGACTCATGTCTACTGTCATTTGACCAGGGAGCAAATTCTGATTGGATCCATTCCAACTGCAAAAAGCCACATGTTACTGGGGTGACCAGTAGAAAAGGGCCTGTAGTGGAGCATGTAGCAGCTGAAGAGGCCGTTAGTTCACTCAAGAGGTGGTGACGACCAAAAACTGAGCTGAATATTGGAAGTAAATTCACCAGGAGGCTGGAAACATGACTCCAAATAAGAACCTTTCTTGAATCTTAACTAAACTACCTCTGTAACAGCTGCATGTGTAAACAAGCAACTATTCACTGTCAGGTTTTCAATATAATCTTAAAAGTGATATGTTAATGTGCCCAGAAGATTCAGAATAATGATTATTGTGTGGAAAAACTCTGTAGTAGAAAAAAATATAATTGTGAAGTAAGTAATAAATGACCAAAACTAATTATCAGATAAAAATACAGAATAGAATAAAATAAAAGACAGTACACAGGCATAATAAAAAATACAACTTGTTAAAAAACGAAGGCTGGATACTTGGAAATATTGCATAGTCATTGTGTGTGTGTGTGTGTGTGTGTGTGTGTGTCGGTGTGTGTGTGTGTGTGTGTGTGTGTGGAATAATTATTCAGATTGTTTAATTGCACTGAGCTGATTGCACTTTGTATTTAAGAGTCTTATAGCCTGAGGGGAAAAAAGTCTATTTCTCCTCAACTGCAGGTTTCAGGGTTCTCAGCGTGTTACTGCCCATATTTACTGTCAGTGATGTTGCAGGAGACACAATCCTCCGGCAAGATGGTAATTTATTGGTTTGAAATCATCTTTGAAAGATATCGTACCTGAGCTGAATCAGTAATCAGCTTTTTCCTTCTGTAATTGCTGTATCATTGTCGACTCATGTGGTCTTGACCAGCGTCCTGATCGATGTGTTCACAGAGACAATGCAGTCATCAGGATAATGTCACTGACACCGGGCAGTTCACAGGAACCGATAAGTTGATGGATGCAGCCGATGTGATGGACACACAAACTAACTGAGTGAACACAATCTCGTCTTCTGCTCTTCTGGAACAGGAACAGCAGCTGCGCTTATCTCAAGTGTGAATCCCGCGTTCGAATGATGGTATAATAATTACACAATATTTCATGTTCACGTCAATCTAGGAAGTTAAAAATTTTAATTAATACTAAATTCCTTCTCTTCCTGTAATGTTTTCCCTACGCTAGTCAAACATCTGCGTACAATGAAGCTGTGCCACACAACAGCGCCCACGTTTCGCCGCCATATGTCCTGCCCAACTGTTGCCTGGTGTAAAATCTGCAGTCAGAGGTAATGAGACATGCAGTTTTTGTAAATTAATATTAAAGAAAAAAAACAAACATAAAGCAACAATAGCAGCCTCCTTTTTTGTCATAGTTTCATCAGCGTTATCTTTGTGTCATTCTGTGCCCATTGAAAACAAAACAGAAATGTTGGCTTATTATTAAGGCCTCAAATGAATCAAAGAAGAACAACCTGACAATTCACCTCTGATTCTCTGAATTCGTATGCACAGGGAGAAAAACACACACACACACACACACACACACACACACACACACACACACACACACACACACACACACCAGAGGAGGAAATAGGGAAAAAAACATACTTTAAGGTTTATTCGGCTAGTGTGCAATCGCAGGCTGCTTGCTCAGGGAAATCGGTGCCCCTGGGCTACATCCCATCCCCACGGCTGCTCACGGGGAGATATTACAAGAAAGAAAAGGAGGATGCCGGCGTGTTAGCAGAGTGTGAGGGTAGGTGGTCCGGGAGGAAGGTGCTGGGAGTGCGAAAAGAAGGAAGAACGAAGCAGCTAATACTTGAGATCAGCCTCTTTCATTATTTTTTTAAAATGGGAAACCTTGTACATGTAATGAGTTTACTTTTTGGCAAATCACGGCCGCGCTCTCCTCGGCGCGTGAAGCCGTGCCACGAAATCCATCAGCCCACTCAGTCATTTAGAGAGAGAGAGAGAGAGAGGGGGGGGCGAGTCGCCGCAGTGTCGATGACGCGGTGCCAAGCATGAGTGGTGGTTTCATTTCTTTATTTGTCAAAATGCACATACACATGTCTTATTCTTTCACGTTTGCACAGAAACTCCCATATTGTATTTCAGTTGCTCAGATTTCATTTTTCAGCTTGCTCCGATTAAACACATCATTTATAAATCAAGATCTGATCCTTCAGTTCCTTGTTTTGGTATCAACTTCTCTCTCGATCTGCTGGAAAAAGTCTGTGAAGCCTTCTCACTGTTTTTCTCTCTCCCCCCCCCTCCCCTCTCCGTTCTAGACGCTCACCTCACCCTCCTGGAATACTGACCACCTGTTCCTCCCAACCGTCTCAATTTACTCCAGCATATGCCGAGCTGCAGCTACCCGGTGGCATGAGCATATAGATCTCATGCATAACGCAGTAAGTTAATTCTCTCCTTTCCACCCCAACACCTAATTTATTTATTTGCTTTTCCTGCATAGCTAATAAGAGACACCGGTCACGGTTACACTGATCAGATAAGAAAACGGCTTTCACCTAGGGCGGCTTCCTTTCACATAGAAATCATACAAAGAAGAAATTTCTAGTCGGAAAACTAATTTCCATAGTTGTCAGGACATCCAGTAGCAAAAGGCTAACAGGACTTGCCAATGGCCTATTCGGCTAACTTTCCAAATGTGAATGAATAAAGGCTTAATAGAACCGAGCACAGTTGCAGCCCACAGTGTAACTCACTGAATCCATGGCAACATCATTTTTCTTTAAAATTAAAGACAACAAAACAAATTTGCAAGTTGATCGTGGACTCTTATCTGCAGATTCTTGAAATAGCAACTAAGTATACCTAAGTATAATAATGTTGTCAGCATCATTTTTATCAAACTCAATATTCAGTAGTTTATTCTGAAAGATTCAACAAATAACGTAAACACAGAAAAGGCACATTATGCAACACATTCCCCATAAACCAAAGAAATAGAAAGCGCACAGACACAAGAGAGCTCAAACGCAGCGTGAGGTGCTGGAGAAGCAGAGTAAACCAAATCCTCCCACCTTCACCAGGAAGCTCAGATTGCTTTGATGGCTCTGTGAGATACCTCAGCTGAGTCACGTCCAGAGAAATTATAACACAAATGACCAAAAGCAGTGCTGAACAACTAGACTCTGTGACCCGCTACGTCCCCAGATGAATTTGGACATAAAATAGGCCACGTAGAGAAGAGGAAATTTGCCCTGTGGCAAACGCCCGTCTTTGTATACAACTCATAAAGGCTAATATTACCTTGTCCTTGCAGTTATTGCTTTGTGCCGTCCTGGGTGGATTTGCGTCTGTGACCTGGAAAAATGATCTTGAGAGAAAGATGAAGGTAACAGTTTAATTCTGCCAAATTATGCACCGTCGGGTCTACATGTGTTTCGCTATAGGGAGAATCATTAGGACAATCTCACAAGTGTCTCCCACACAGATCATTGGAATAATTTACTTTTGAAGACGTATTTGCATAAATACAAAGTGTTTCAGAAATCAACAAATTAGCATTTTATTTCTGAGGATTTGAAGGCAGCTGGATTTGTCTCAAGTCACTTTTCAGAAAAGTGTTGTTGTTTGCAAAAAAAGTTGTTGTGGAAAAAGGGGCGGGGAGAGAAATTAGAATTACATCCAGAGTTAATGTAGTTAATACAGTTTCTATTGCTTTTATTTAGATAACACACAAAAGTAATATGAATGTTTGGGTCTGTACATATGAGCACTACAACAAAAATCTCCTATTGAATATCCATCCATTCGTTATCTACACTGCTTGTCCTGTTAGGGTCATAGGGGAAATATAAAACAATGTCTTTTGACGTATTGGGAATCAAATTAAATCAAAGAATATTGTCTCAAATACTGACGTGCAGTAATTTTACTGTATTTCATATTTCTATATATTTACAGAAGTGGGTGTTTACACTCTTTTGTTAATTGTCAAATCCACTTAGCAAACCTTTTTCACTTTATGCACGTTACGCTCAAAGCTCACCCATTAATTAAGAGACCAGTAATCTTCCAAAAGTGGATTTGGATTTCAGATGGAGCCTAAATGCGCTTTAGACCAGACACAGATTAGAATATGTCCACAGGTTGATGGTCACCTCCTTTAAATGTTTTCTTGAATCCTTCTGTTCTGAGTTTTCTCTCCAATAACTGTGATACAGTTGAACATAATTTAATATCTACATTTACAATTAATAATTATAAAACCTAAGAACTTTGCAATATTAGTCTAGAGTGGATTTCAGATTTACAGATGTAGTTCCTAAGTCCAAAATAAACATAGTAAATCACAAAGAGGCAGAATAAATGACAACACGTCTTTGTATTTGTTCAATTTCAGTTCATTTTGATCTAATTATTACAAATATTGAGCCTCTACGATAATCCAACCAGAAAGATATTGCTTTTCAGAATTGTAACAGTGGCTTTGCACAAACACTGTGCAATATCTCCAAACGTCCATCTGCAGAGAAATAAATAGGTTTTCTCTGTCAAGCACATTTTTCCTCTTTGTTGAGACAATCATGACTGTGAGGCACTGTAGAAGCAAAATATGAATCGCTTACTCGTGCAACTACAGAGAAGAAAGCGGTCTTGACAGCATCAGCACATTCCTGCACCGTGCTGCTATCTCATATCATGCAGCCATCTGATGACTCTGATATTGTAGATTTCTTCATGAAATAAACATCCCGTGGAAAAAGGAGGGAAATATTCCAAAGCAAAGACAAAAAGACAAAGCAGACGGGAATGAGATGAAATAACAGGACCTGTGTGGGTAACCTGAGCTGACACGGACCCATTTATCTCCCTGTCTGGTGCAAAGGAGCAAAATCTCGAGCCCAGAAAGGTCACAGTGAAGAAACCTGATTGTGGAGCTGTGCAGACCATTACTGATACAAGGACAAACTCACGTCACAACTTTTGTCTTTTTGCCTCTTTTGCTTTGACTTTAAGAAGATGCTCTTTTCCTTTCTAAGCTTTTCTGCTGGAGAAAACAAATATTTACAGTGGCTTCAGGCAGTATTTAGACCTTTTCACATTTTGTAGATTTAATTGCGTTGTAGTCAGCTGGGATTGGTCGCAGCGCGCAGCTCCAACAATAAACTGGATGGATGAATTTGTTTTGTTAGATTCATAGATAAATATAATCCTTTACAATAATATACAGATCTTTAATTCTGTATTTCTGCACCAACACACTTTTGGTAGCAATTCCAGCTTCGACTCGTCTTAGGTGAGTCTCCAGGAGCTTTTCACACATGTACTTGGGCAGTTTATCCAACATTTCCTGGTAGAGCCCTTTCACATATTGTCAGATTGTTTGGGAAGCGTCTTTTAGCTTCTGTCTTGCAATACTAAGACCTTTGAATACTGCGAATGACTTCCATCTAGCTTGTGTACCACGAAGGCCTGATTGATAGAGTGCAGCTGAGATGCTCGTCCACCCAGACGGACTCAAGAAGCTTTGTTTGAGTGATTGTTGGGTTCATGGTCTCCTCCCTGATCAAAGCCCTTCTTTCCTGGTAATTTGTCTTGATGACCAACTCGAGGATTCGTGGAAAACGGAAGACATTGTTCTAAACCATTACCCTGATGTAATTAGTTATTTTGACCTCACTAGTTAGATTTAGTCTTGACATGCAGTTACAAAAACGCTGGCTTGTGTCTTTCTATGTCCGATCAATTCCGTTTGCCACAGGTTTAGTGTGGATTGATGGGCAAAAATCAATGAACAATTAAAACTTCCAACACAATAGATTAAAAAGTACGGAAAGTAAAAGGGGCTGAACATTTCCTGAAGCAACTGTATACAGCACAACAGGGGTTACACACAAGATAGGACTCAATGAAACGAGATCATATTTACAGCAGTAAAATTACATACTGAGACTAATGCTGACATGTTGATGCTTAGCATGCAGTATTAGCATGCTCACCATCTTAGTTTAAATAATATTGGATACTTGTCACCGAATGTAAAATGCAGCTGAGGTCAATGGGGATGTCAATGGTTAAATAAACTATTATTGGAAAATAATTTGAACTTGATGAAATGTTTAACCAACCAGTTCGTCCTGGGGAAAGTGTGAATGTGTCATGAATGTGTAAATCCTTTATTGTATGTTTTATAATTTTAAGAGCTACAAGACAAAAGAAAAACAATGTCAACCACTGAGGGTCGGAGCAATAACTTAAATCATTCATATTTATCCACCATGGACCATGAATGTCTCTATGGAATATTATAGTAATCCAGGCAGTAATTGATTAGATATTTTAATCTGAATTGAAATTCTGCACCAACCTTGTGGCTAAAAAAAACCACAACAAGCATAAGGTTTAATCAATATTAAGAATCCAGCCCACAAAACAATGGGTTTAAAATAAAGACTCTTTTAGCTGCTGAACATGATCAATACAAGCTCAATGGAACCCTCAGAGACACCGTCCTTCTGGGTTCAAGTGTATTTTACCATCTTCTTGTCTGGCAGCTTAGAAACAGAGGCATCCTTGGAGCCTTAATTTTGATGTGGCTTTCTTTTTTTGTTGTTGTTGGTCGTTTCAGAGGCCTTGCTAAAAAATGGTGATTGAGCTTTCGAGACGCAGATAGCCTTGGAGGGAAAAAAGGCTGAAGAGAGCTGTCTGGTAAATAATATGATCTACACTGGTCGAAACACACACACACACGCAATGTTCAACAAGATTACCCCGAAAACTGCACGTTGCAAGGCATGGAAAGACGGCTGGGAGGGAAAAAGGCATAGAGTGGGATAGAGGAGGGAGAGCGTAAGTGGAAACTGCACGCCAAGCTTTGTAAAACATCAGGGATGAAACATCGCTTTCCTCATAAGATGATTATGTTGTTAAATGAGATATGGCAATACTCTTGTAAGCGCTTAATCCAAGGATCTCCAGCTGCCATGCAAACGTAGCAGATGTCAGCAGGATGACACAAAGCCGAGGAGTGAGGAACCAAAAATCCCCCCCCCCCTCCCCCGCCGCTGTATTACTTAACAGGGGGAGGAAGGTGGTTGCTGGCGGCTCATTGTGCTAATATCGTATTCAGTCGGTCAAAATTCGCAAAACTGTTGTTGTTTTCCTCCGAGAAGAAGAAGAAGAAGGAGGAGGAGAAACAAAAGTCTCTGAGCGGCCGCCAGGCTTTCAGGGGTTTTTTCTGAAGTTGCACAAACTCGGTAATGCTCGTAAGTTCCCACCAACTTCTGAGGCGCGGCTTCCCGTGTGAAGTTCCCTCTCGGCTCTTCGCAGCGCTTTCATGCGGCTCTCCGGGTGTTCCCTGGTGGGATGTTAGGGGCGGGTGGACCGAATCGGAGTGGATTTCCTTGGGGGGCGTTAAAGTAAAATGTCTGATTCAAGCGCCCACCCCCCTCCACTCTCTTGGTATTCACGTTGATGACATCACAACTGTGGAAGTGCCAGTGAGCCGCCACTCCGGGCCCATTAAATCAGATAGCATGATAATTTAGTCTAATTTGCCATCAGTCCCGCTAATTGCATCTGACTGTGGACTCCGCAGAGTATTGTAATTCCCTTGAACTGGTTAGAGTGACTGTGATGGGTTATGCTTGAACTTGGTTAATGGTAGGTGATATATGATTTGTTTTGCCTATTTTTCATCATTAGCTTTTCCCTTTTAATACCAAAGCTGCGGAATCGTTGAATAATTACGACTCATGATTGTCGAGCTCTCGGGGGATTGTCGGTTTCTATGTGTCGACTGTAGTTTGAAGAAATCTGAGGCGGCTGAGTGTATCATTTAAACAGTATCACTTCACTCCAAATACAAAACAAAGCCGAGATCTGAAACGCTGTATGACCGCATCGTGGGTCGAGATCAAGCTCGTCAAATCACAGCCGGTCGAAAGCAGTTACTGTTCATCCTACCAGGAGGTGCTTTTTCGTCAGAAATGATGTATCTAACTGCCCCTTTCTCTTTTCCTTCCTCTTTTTTTTTTATCACTCTGTCTCTCTCTCTCCCTTCTCCCCTCCGTGGCTCACAGAGCTTTGTGCTCATGTTTGAGTTCTCACTGGCTGACAGGTTGTCACAGATAATAAGTTTTAATTCCCCGTGTGGGACCGAGACTCACTTGCCTTGTAATTTCCTCATAATTTTATTCCCTTTTGAAGGCCTGGAATGTAGATTGGTGAGATGTCAGTTATAAGTGGCTGTAAGCTGAGATAGTAATGTATTCCACCGCGCTCAGACCGGACTCTTAGTCAAATTAAAGCGATTGAGTCTAATGTTGTCATGTTGCAGGTGCATGATCAATGAAAGCCTTGTTATTTAAGTCTCGTGTTTGGTCCAAT